AAAATTCTACTACCAGTCCTTCATCACCTTACACGAAATAGGGTGAATACATCTTATTACACTGATTTACAGGTAGTCTCGAAACCTTACTCACTTACGAACACCAAAGCAGCCAACGCCCTGAATAGAAAGAATGAGTGTAGGAATTGAAGATATGAAGACCAAGATGTTGTGATCTTTGGTATGGTCGTAGTCTCTTTTCGATTCATAGAAATGGGTTGGCTTCGTTGTCGCAACTTGGTCTTGTTGCCGGGGGGAGTTAGTAGAACGCACCTAGTCCGAAGTGGTTTTCATGAGTCCCAGCATCAGACAGTGGACTTGGTATATTCTCAAACGTTTCGCCAGCATCATAGTCGGCATCATCAGTGAGTTGTGATAGGATTATATGATAAAGAGTAGATAGGCCAGGACAGAAAGAGGAGTGATAGTGTGACTTCACTTGTCTCTTTGACGAGTTCGTAGCTTGGTCCGGAGAATGGCAAAGCTCACTGATGATGCCGACTACGATGCCGGCGAAACGTTGGAGAATGTATCAAGTCCACGGTCAGAAGCTGGGAATCATGACAACTACTATGGTAGACGGCTTCGGACTAGGTGCCTTCTACTAAGTCGTCCTGACAATAAGACCAAGTTGCGACAACGAGGTCAACTCACTTCTATGAGTGTAGTAAGTTAAGCGGAAACTACTTGTGGCTGTTTGATAGGCTTAGAGAGAGAGAGAGAGGAGTGAACGAGATGTACCACCGAGTATGAGGAGGTGTGATTAGGCTGGAATCTGCTTTTGACTCTCACATCACACTCATTTAAACAGCAATGCACTCAACAACACGTGTGCAATTGGACGCAATCACATGCGGTGACATTGCAGGAGCAAAGGCATACGTATGTTAGGCGGGATGCAGCGTTTCGTTTTGAATTGCACCCATTTCCCGCTTCATCTGTAGCCACTTTACATTTCCTCCTCAGCCAGTTAACTTAACCTATCAGCAAATATAGAGAAAAAGAATAGGACATCCAACCAAAACATGATACGAATAAGTGGACCCAATTGGAATATAAGAAGAAAGTATATTTGAAGCCGTCCCCCCTTTCTTGCCTTCCTGCTTTTGGTGAATTATCGTTAAGCGTGATGTCCAGCTCTGATGATGTCCGTCGGCACCAAACTGCCCTCTCCACGGTGCTAGTTAGTTGTATCCTCTTTCAGAAGCTCCATATTTGGCTTACGTACCACCAAGCACCATTAGTCCCGTACGGCCAGCTAAACGATCCCATGATAGGTGGCCGAGGTCATATTCCGTGCATTTCTGAGGTCATCTTATTCATTATTTAATGGTAGTCTCGAACCTCTACTTGCAGACCAAACGTTGTCGATTGTTATAGCAAATATACGTTTGCTTCATCGACAATCCTACCAAAAAAAGTGATATTGGAAAAGGCTTTGTCTTCCTGGAAATTCACATAAGCCCTGTGAGCCAAGAGCACTTTTGGCAATGTGACCAAGTGGTTAAACTGTCAAACTCACATTATGCACTGTCACAATTCGAATCCCGCTGGGGGTGTTGATAAGACCGATGCGAGGTCGAAACTGCAGTCCAACTTTTGGGAAAGCTAATCTTTTCTTGTCTTGGCTCTAATCATAGTAACTTCTCTGTACTTTTAGCTCACTCCTTCTCTCTTGGATGAAGACCAATGACAAAATGTCTCATCAACATGAGCAGACATGTGTCCGACCTTGCGAAATCGGAGTGAAGGTTATAGCATGTATGTAGAAAGGGGAAGATAGTGGTCATCAAACCTTGATGGCCGAGAACAGACGTTACTTTTGCTGTCCTAATTACTTTGAGCCATCACTGCTGGTTTCGTGCACAAGCGAACACAGACACATTTACAGATTTAGAGGTTGACATATGACCGCAACTAACCAAATCACTTTATACCTATATTCGTATGTGAGTAGGGTTTCGAGATCTCATTACACTTTATACCTGATCAAAGAGGCCAGATATAGAGTATGTATACCGCTTTTGAGGGATCTGCCGGTGAGTTTTCTTGACCCATTAGCTTGAATTTGGTTCTGACGATGATACCTTTCTCTGATGATATTCGTCATATGACGGACGAAAGCTTAGCATCTTTTCACCGGAATCGAAGGAGCTTAAATCGGAAACAGCGTTACCATGAATGTTCCAGTAGAGCCAATCGACAGCTGGCCAAGAGAAATCCGCCGTGCTCTTATTTAGTCTTGATAAAAACTTAGTCACCAAAGTTTGTATGTGGTGAGTCGAATGTAAATAGTGAGTTTTTCGTATAAAGATATGAGTTGGCTCTACGTTTCTATTAAATCTTATTGTTTCCAGCCTCACAAAATGTCATCTCATTCAGGCTAGCCGGCAGTTTAGAGCTTGGCTAGGCGTCGACAGGTTTTCAAGTGGATTCGAAGCCAGGCTGCACCACGCTACTTCCCTAAAGACATATGTGAATTTCACGGCAAGTAACAGT